GCAAGCCTGATGACCTGAGTTTGATCCCAAAACCCATAGTGCAAGGAGAGAACTGGCTCCAGAGAGTTATTGTGTGACCTTCCATGTGCACTGTTGCACAAAAACACCCACACCCACACACACACACACACACACACACACACACACACACAAATAATAAAATAGTTTGGGGTTTGTTTCTGTTTTTTGTTGTTTTGTTTTGTGACAGGGTTTGTCTGTGTAGTTGTGGTTGTCCTGGCTCTATAGACCAGGCTGATCTTGAACTCACAGAGATCCACCTGCCTCTACCTCCCAAGTACTAGTATTAAAGATGTGGGCTGCCACCACCACCCAGCTTAATAAAATAATTTTAGCACTCTGAGGCAGAGGCAGGTGGATCTCTGTGAGAACAGCCTGGTCTACAGAGCGAGTTCCAGGACAGGCTCCAAAACAATACAGGGGAACCCTGTCCTGGAAAACGATAGATAGATAGATAGATAGATAGATAGATAGATAGATAGATAGATAGATAGATAGATAGTAATCTTTAAGCTAAATAATGAAAGTAGAAAGTGGCCCCTGAGCCCATCAGTAGACTTGCAGACTCCCATGCTCGACTTTTCTTCTACCTCAGTTTCTTCACCTTCTCATAGTGTGGCTCATGGAATCTCTCTCAGCACTCCGATGCCTGATAATGTCTGTTTCCCCTTGAGTTCAGAACTCCAGGCTGACAGGCTAGTGCCCTAAGGGTGTTCTGTGTCTCCTCACTTGTGTCATTCCCCAGGAGGGATCTGTGTCTGCCTCTCTGTAACACTTCTTCATTCTTTTTGCTTCAAGATTTTTCTCTTTATCACGACTCTTGAACAGTGTGATTAGGGTAGTGTCATTTTCTTCCTGTTTCTTATGCTTGAGGTCTGCTCATTTTCTTGTATTTATGGGTTTTGGGGTTTCATCACATTTGAAAAATGTTTCGCATGCCCCCTCTTCTGGGGATTGAATTACCTGTGTGTTATACTGCCTAAAGTTGTCCCTGGGGCCACTAATGCTTTGTTTCTCTTTAATTCTCTTTGTGTGCCTTCAGTTCCCACTGCTGTACACACACACACGCACACACACACACACACACACACACACACACACACACACACACCCTTTTCCTCTGCAGACTCTTCTGCTGATAAACCTGTCACGTGCCTTTTTAGTGGTGGAAATGTAAATTCTTTCCGTGTTACCTTTTGTGTGATTTCTGTATCGCTTTGCAGTTTCCATGGGAATTATACCAAACGGCTTCGTCTCACAGAATAGCATATGAGTGAACACTCTGCTCCCACATGTCCTGTCCTGCTCTCCTCAGTTGTTCACGCCTCAGAATTCTGTCTTTATGCGTTTGCATCCTAAGCTTGAGCTAACAATACTTTAAATGTGTTAGTCTCAAGTTATATGAAAACAAAACATGGGATCACAAGACAAAGTTCCAATAATGCTGCTTTTAGACTAATAATGGCTTTTAAAATGTATGTCTGTTCTTTGTGTAGAAAGCAAACCATGGGATCGTAAATCTGCTACAGTCACATAAACTTTTGAATTTGAAGGGATCTTTCTTTTTCCCTTTGAGGGTCTGTGATGTGATGTTCCAGGCTCTTGGAGGTTCTGCTTTACACTATGTAAAGCAGGGCCACCCACGCATCAGGTGAAGGCCAGCGCCGTGTGCCAGGGTCTTCAATTCCCTTAGATTATCAGTGCTGCACCTTGAGGGTGTCTGTCCACACGGCAGAGTGAACTTACTCATATGGAGGTGGCCTTCCTTACAGCAGCGAGACCCTTGTCACATGGAAATAACTAACTAATTCCTCAGAGTGGGGTAACCTTCCTCACAGAGGATGACCTTCTTCACAATGTGTGGCCTTCCTCTTATGGAGGGAGCTTGTCTCACAGTGGGGCATCCTTGTGAACCTAGCTTCATAAGGCCATGACATATTATTTGTCTGTGTTCTTTCAGTGAAAACAAGCTCAGTGGCTAGCTGGGGCTTGAGGAGAGTGGATGCAGACTCTCTTCTCAGGTGATCCACTGGGTGCATATCCAGTGGGGAACTGCTGTTAGACACCATCTGTGGTAATCTGTTCCACAGAGGAACCCACATGGCCTCGTCTGGTTCACGGTGCTTTGGTCGTCCAATGTCATCCTTACATGAGTACCTTAAGGCTCACGTTTCCCCCTCCACCCCCAGTCACCCTGCGGTGTGGGAAGCGGCCAGCAGCCAGTGCTCAGCACTGTAAGGGCACCCATGGCACAGCTTCCTAGCCTTCCACCCACGCTGTGTCTCGGTCTCCAAGGACCAGTCACCATGACTAGCAGGCTGCTAGTCTGCTCTGCTCCTGGAACATGGTGGCCTTGTTTGTGCTGAGGCCTGCACCTCATTGATGTGAGTCATTCCAAGGATGAGCTTGGTACTGTCACCTCCTCATTCCCCAGTGGTAAGCAGTATCCAGGTATAAGAGAGGCTTCTTGAGTCTGAGGTTGGGACCTGCAGTGGGCACACATGTACCACCTTCCTATGAGCTCCAGGTGGGGCTAGTACACAGACCCCACCTGGGATTGGCCAATGGTAAGGGCTGTAGGGGTCAGTCAGCAGTGACCAAGTCAACATGTGGCACTTGAGACTTGTAAGAAATTTGTCCTCCAGATGGCAATAAGGTGTCCCCTTCACTGTCAACCCCAAGTATGTGATCTGTCTCTGGAAGGAAGAGCAGACTTGTCTGTTCTTTGACCATTCTCAATAGGGACCAGTGCAAGAACAACAGACACCCGTGTTTCCTTAAAATGTGCTACCCTTGGGATCCCCAGATAGGCATCTTCACCCCGTGTTTCCTTGTGTTTTTCTTTCTTAGGATAGTCTCTTTGTAGCACATACTGTAAACTGTGGCCCGAGGTCTGGACTATACTGTGCCCATTGAGACATTTCGTCACTGCTGTCTGATGAGCCATCAAGCTGGGCCTCCAGCAGGACTGAGGTGTCAGCAGCTCTCAGGGCTCTCTTGTGCTTTATGGGGTGCAATGTTGTCACCCCACCACAGTCACACTTACCCATGCCCCAGCTTTCATGCAAACAGAAATGAGCCTTATCCCTGGCATGGTAAACAGAGAGGCTGCAGCCCGCCCTTGTGACCCTAGGGCACTGTACCCTGAGGCTTCAGTTCACAGAACAGACCCGGCTGGACAGTCAGCCCTGGTCCACAGATCAAGGAAGTCTGTGCTCCCCCAGGGAACCTTCCGCAGAGGTGCAGCATTCAGAAAAGAGTGGCCCACCTATCCGGAAGGCCAGAAGCACTGCTCACTAGCACTGCCTTCTGCATCATTACTCTATTTTTTATCTGGTACAGGAAAGCCCACGAGGACTACAGTAGGGGGGCTTCTCCCTGTAGAATACAGTTTCTAGTTCCCCAGCAACTGCCTCACTGTATTTGTGTAGAACCCTGGCTAAGTTGAGGTCAATGCCTGAGTCTGGGTGTTTCACTCTTTGCAATTCGTTGTTGTGCAAGCTGATAAAAACTGCAAATCTGAAACAAAAGTGACTTTGCAGGCACTGTTACTTACCAACCTGGGGTGATGTCTTCACCAGTCCTGTACTCATTTGCCAGTGTGTATGTGGCCATGTCCACCCTCCCCCAGTTCTGTGCTTTCCTGCCCTTGCTGGAACATGTGGGAGTTTCCAGGGTAGGAGGCCGTGACAGTCCAGTGCTAGGTGAAGAGCTGCACTGCTCCATCCTTAGACTATTCCTCTGTAAATGGTGTCTCCAGTTGGGACACAGAGTCTCCAAGTCTAAGGCATGTGGGGGTCGACACTGATTCCCAGAATCTGCCCAACAGAGGACAGTGACAAGGGCTGCAGCAGCCCCACGGTGGAGGCAGCAAGCCAAGTGTGTTTCGTTTTCTGGTCCTGTTGGAGTGATGCATCTGGGAGAAAGTAAAGAAAGGGTCTACAACTGAAGAGAGGGATGGATCTGGCAGACAGACAGAGATCTTGCAGTGGCCCTCTGTCTCCTGGCACAGGGCTATAGGGTCACTTTGCTAAGCCAGTTGCTTATTCTGTTGGCAAACAGTTAAAAGAGGGGAGGCGATGCCCCGCACAGAGCTAGGTTGAGGGTGGCCTGAAGCATCCTTAAATGAAAAGCTTGGCTTCTGTCCTGTCCTACTAAGCTGTTTATTTTTCTTGTGATCACATGGATGGTTCAAGTAGCAGGGGCCCAGCGTGGGGTGGAGCGGGGCACTTGTAGGAGCCCAGGCTTTGGGGGAGGGGTCCTTCTGGCAGGGACTCCGCACCTATGAAGACGGGGTGAGTTGACAAGTGGGCTCTTTAAGTGCCCCATTGCCAAGGTAAAATCCCAAAGGGACTGTGCCTAAGAATAAGGGGGTCCCAAACTCTGTCTTCTGAGCATCATTCCAACCCCTTCTCTGTCTCTCTCCACTTCCGGCTCCTGTTTGTTCAGGCCCACTGCAACTGTGACCCTTATCCCCTGACTCCAATTCCCTATGCTCAAGCCCATTTCCTGTGGAACAAGCCCACATAGATCAGTGGGAGCCCCTGAGAGGGCAAAAGGACCCCAGGCCCATGGAGCCTGGCAATGGGTAGGAGACCTGAGGTGGACTGTGAGTACTGGGTGGCAGGCCACAGGAAACTCGGTGAGCCATGAGCCCCCCAGGCAGCTGCCACCCACAGCTCCACTGGTGCTTAGGGGCAGCAGGCTGGTTCTTACATCTTTAGATTCTCCATCTGTTCTCAAGTGTTTAAAGATGTCTCCTTCAACTATAGGTCACACTTTTACCTATAGATAGTGACAAACAAACAAACAAAACCTTGCTTTTGCTTCAAAATAGCCTGCCCACAGAAGTCCTGCAGCCCTGATGGGCTGGGCCAGTTACATACACACAGAGCCAGAGAACAGATGGTTTCTTCATAGCCAGGTAGTACCATCCTAGTCAACCAAGGTTGGTAATTCAGAAGCCCCTTTTGTCCCCACAGACTCAGCCAGTGCCCAACCCGATGGCTTACTACCTGCACAGGTCACCCTGGTGGTTCCATCGCTTTGAGACCCTCAGCAACCACTTCATAGAGCTGCTCGTGCCTTTCTTCCTGTTCCTCGGGCGCCGGATGTGCATTCTTCACGGGGGACTGCAGATCCTTTTCCAGGTAGGCTGTGCCAAGGTGCCACCACTTGGGGTCCCCATGTGTCTACAGAAGACAACAGCCTGCCTCATCATTTATGTGTTAGCACAAGAGCCACGGGGAGAGGTCTCTCCAGCTCCATCTCACCCCCTGCAGGGGTCCTACTGCATCTGGTCCAGGCTAGATTCCAGGGTCCCCTTCCCAGCTTCCATGAACCCGTGGTGGTGCCTGGTTGCCCTCAGGGACACAGACCTTGCTCAGGCACACCTCAGCTCCACACAAACACTCCCTGTATTCTTGAATCCAACCCTAAAATGTTAAGTGTCTTTCTATATGTAGACATCAGTCTACCAGGAATTGGGGCAAGTTGTTTGTTTAAGACAGGGTCTTGCCGTGTAGCCCGGACTGGCCTGGAACTTGTGGTCCTTCTGCCTCTACTTCCTGAGGGCTGATGTTATGGGCGTGTGCCTCTATACCTCACCCCCTTTTGGTTTTTGAATCAGAGTCTCAGTAAGTTGTCCAGACTGCCCTTAAACTTGCGCTCCTCCTTCCTCAACCTCCCCAGCAGCTGGGATGATAGGCCTGTACTACCAGGCCAGGCTCACCTTGAGGTTTTGGTTTTCCATTTTCATGAATGGATGTTGACTGTAGCGGACTGTTTCCCCATCAGTCAGGAGAGGGTCGAAGGATTTTTCCTTTCAATATGTTAATGAGGTGAATTATATTACTGTTGCTCTAGTTGAGCTAGTCTCGTATTCTAGAATAAACTCAGCTTGGTCACGCTGTAGATATTTTAATATATTACCGAGCTAATTTGCCAATGTTTTGTTTTGGATTTTGCATGGTTGTCAGTGAGAGAGACCTGTCTGTAGTTTTCCAGCATAATGTGGGCCTAGTGTTGGTTCCCTGTCTGAGCTCATTGCCCCACACTCAAAAGACTATCCCCTCTCTCTGAAGGGTCCATGGAGCCCCAGGCAGCCTGTTCTCAGAAGCCTGGGCAATGCCGTGTATGCTTCTGAGCAAAGCTTTGAGAGCTTTGCCATGGCCAGGCCTATGGCTATGGGACATCCTCCTCAAGGCAGCTTTGGCAGTCAGCATTTTCCTGGGAATAAATATGTCAGTTTCAGCTGTTTTCAAATTTATTAGCGCAAGGGGAGAGGGGACATCATGTTCTCCTCGGTGCAAATTTTGGATCCGAGAGCCTGTCTCTCCTCATGTCCTTTCTCTCTATTCAGGGCTGTATTTAAATCATGACTGACTGTATGCAGATGTTTGAGTCTCACTGTCACCTTTGCCACAGTGACCTTTGGCTGCTAAGTCACCTTTGACTACTACCTGTTCACTAGCTCTCAATGCTCCAATATGCTGGCTCCTTTTTGTTTTGTATTTTAACAGGGTGCTCTAGCAGCTATGTAGAGATTATAGAAAATTCCTTTGTGCCCACATCTCCCCACTACGAGAACTTCACACTGGTGAGGTGCCAGGTGATGGTGCAGTGATGACCCATAACTAACCAAAGTCCACAAGGCATTCTTTGGGTTTGGACAATGGAGAATGTTTAGGTACCATCACTGTCATACAGACATCTTCCTACCCTGAGAGTCATGGGAGCACTGCTTCATCTTCCCCCACCTTGACCCCTGGCCTTCCGTATTTCCCAAGCATCTTGGATTTGGAACCACACTGTGTTACCTCTCTAGCCAGCTTCTCTCAGTCATGTGTTTAAGACTCCTCCCGATGGCTTAACCACTCATTGCTTCTCAGAGCTGATATCCACACGAATACCTGTTTCCCACACGTCTCCTGGAGGCCACAGACAGTGCCAATCTTGAGATGACAAAAAGATGTACCCTACTGGCCCCCAGTTCTGGACCCCACCCTCCCTGAGATGTAGGACCATCCAGCTGGATTGACCAGACATTGAGGAAGAGCCATAGCCTTAGGTGTGTCTCCATCTTTTGCCCTGGCCCAGGTGTAAGGCTGGAGAGGGTGGTGGGGATGCTCCTAGGCCTGTATGGCCTAGTAAGGAAGTTGGTGCCTAGGCTGGACCTTCCAGGGTAATAATACCCAGAGACTGGGGAGAGTGAGGGCCAAGGCAGGCGCATGTGTCCACACTAAGTACTGGGGGATTTTTGCAGAGACAGGGCTGCCATGATGCTGGGAATAGATGCCTGCAATGCCTCAGCTGCACAGGTACCAGAGACAGATGTCAAGAGTCCTCATTTGGGCATAGCAGATGTCTTGGAATCTTGGGTCTCCTGAGGTTCAGGAGTCTCCTCTTCCTGTGTACAAGATGCTGTACAACAAGCTTTTCCCAACAACCCCCATGTGGGACACTCTAGAAAATGAAGAAGCCTACACCACACCCTCCAAGAGCTGCCAGCAGCCTTGAGCCACTGTTAACTCCTTGTAGTCCTTTCGGAAGCAGCTAGGCATCCCCAGCATTTGCTCTGTCAAGGGGATCCCTGGGCTAGCAGCTCCTACCTGACTTGCCTGGTGGAGTACATGGTACTGGCCACACCATGTCCAGAAGAAAATGGAGATATCCAGGGCTATGGCTTTTCCCCAGGCCTGGTCTGACGTCCCCCAGATCCACCTGAGACTCTTCCTGCCCACCAGGGGTCAGCAGGCATGGCCTTTACCATCCCATGAGCCCCTGCAGAAGGTGTTGGGAGTGACTTTGTGTCCTTTACCATGTAGTGCTATGGCCAGCACACAGCACCCGCCACTCTGTGGCATCCGAGTGCAGCCTGGTGTGGAGCTACACTGTGTCCTGACCCACTGGTTCCTGTGTTCCTTCCTGTGGGCCAGGCAGAGTTTGAGTTCACTCACTTCCTCCCACACTCAGTTTACACAGCTGCTCTGAGGATCCCCACAAGGCCGCGGGATCCACGTGGGAAGGGCCGAAGAGCTCTGAGGGGATGACCCCGGAAGGGGCGGTATGGTCAGCCTCCGCTGCTGAGCTAGGTCAGGACATCCGAGGCCCACCATGGTATCAGTCCCCACCAAGGAACAAGAAGGAGGTGGGATTGGACCTGAGACAGCAGAGAGAAGGCAAGAGAGGGTCTTGGGAGAGGCAGCTTTGAGGTTGATTCCTCTGCTAAGGCCACATGGGGCTACCCAGAAGCCTTGGGAGCACACACATGCCCTCTGTGGAAGGTCCCTGTGACCACATACATGTCCTCTGGAAGGTCCTCTCAAGCGCCTGTCTCCCCTGTGGGAAGCCTGCCTGCAGGCATGTATCCTCGGTGGTAACTGCAAGCCCAGCAGGGACATCCAGAAATCCCCCCTCTTCCTTTTGGGGTCATGTTGCATCTGCCTGGAACATCTGCTATAGCCTCTCTGGGGCTGAATTCCACCAACACACGTTCATCTTTCTCTGCTGTCCCGAGCCTCACCCGCTCCACAGCACAGGGCCATGCTCCAAGCCGGTCATCTGCAGAGCACACTAAGAGTGCGTTGAGGACTCTACCGGCCACGGGTAAACACAGATGGGCTGTGACGAGATTCATTTCCCTCAGAGGGGATGGCTACAGTGACGCTAGAAGGAAAACAAGAAAGATAAGATCCCTTTGGAGCACTTGGACCATGTGCTACATGATGAATTCCAGTCTTATTGAACAAATAGGCTGTGTGGGGACGGGATTCTGAACTGTGTGGGCCAAACTGGCCTGACCCCTGAGCACAGCCACCATCTGTCCACTTGGGCGAAGTGTCACAGGCTCTCCACGGTGCTTTGTTAGAAACAGGATTTCACCTGGTGACAGTTAACCTGCATTATCCCCTTGGCTGGATTTAGGATCCTCTCTAGGGGACACCACTGGGCATGTCTGTGAGGGTGTTTCAGAGAGGATTGTTGAGGGAAGGCCCACCACTCTGAACAGGGGTCATACCATCCCACAGACTAGGGCCCCAGACTGAATGAAATAGGAAGAGGGAGAAAGAGAGCTGAGCACCCATATTCATCTCTCTCAGCTTCCTGACTGCAGGTATAATGTGACCAGGCACCTCAAGTTCCCACCGCCATGCTTTCCCTCCGTGATGAATTGTGTGCCCTCAAACTGTGAGGCAAACCCTTCCCTCCTTAAGTTGCTTTTTCAGGCTTGTTCTCTGGGATTTCCCGTTGAGTGGAGGGAGTTTTGAAAATAGATTCATGCCAGCGGCCCCTACCAACAAGGCCATGAGCTCCAGGGTGGGGCTATGTCATCCAGAGCTCCCGGGGTATGTAACCACGGCTGTCAGGCAGCTGAGTCTGCCATAGGGAACACTGACCCCTGGCTCATGGCCACAGGACAACCTCACCAGACTAGGGATAGACAGACGGCTGCAACAGGTGGACATGTCTTAGCAGAGTGGTCAGCCATAGCCTCACCTCACGGTACTAAGTTGCAACCTCCCTGCTTGGGAGCTAGAGATGATTTGAATGGCCTGAGGAGATGTCTACAGGCAGATAATAGTGACTAATGACAGAACATCTGTCATGTGAGCCATCTGTCTCCAAGAAGGTGCTGACTAGAGCCTTCAAGGCAACAGGTTCCAAAACTACAGCCCAGAGGGATGCCCTGAGACCTCTGCCGAAGCTGGGTGCCGCCTGAGGCCCTTCCTCCAGCAGCATTGAGCAGTTCCTCGAGACACACCAAGAGTTCCAACAGCACTTCTCTACACCTCATTTCCATAAAAATAACCATGCTTGGGAAATGAAGGAATAAAGGCATGCCATCTGCCCCTGAAAGCTAAGTGGAGAGGTTCCTGGTACAGGAGTCAGTACAGTTCACACACTTCCACCATCTACAGGAGAAACCAAAAGGTACACAGATTAGAGGGGAGTGGCAACCCAACCAGTTGCACCATGGGAAGTCTTAGGATCTGCCACCTACAAGTTGGGAACCCAAGAAGACTGGTTGGTAGTCTGGTCCAGTCCAAACTCACGGACCAAGAACCATGGAAGCCAGTAGTCTCCACCCTGGCTTCATCCACAGACCAGGGACCAACACAGAACAGAGCAGGGGAGGTGGGCTGCTCCAGGAGAGGAGCTACATCCTCCTGGACATTTTTGTTCTTTCCAGACCCTCGGTGGGTGGTACCCAGTGCATTGGGCAGGGCAGTCATAACTCTGGCTGGTGTTTCTAATGCTTTCAAACCTTTCTTCTGGAGCTGCATAGACACTCCAGAAGCAGTGCTTCATCAGCCATTCAGATGCATCTCAGCCAGTCAGGCTCCCACATGTGACAATTGTTCTGTTATATCAAAAGTCAGTTCTAAGCTGGGTGTGCAGCACACACCTGTAACCCTGGCACTCTGGAAGCTGGCACGGGAGGGCTGGGAGTTTGTGGACAGCCTGGGCCTAGAGACCCTGTCTCAAAAACAAAAAAAGCTTTGTGTTACAGGCTAATTTTTATATCCATTGTTTTATTATTGTAAAGATTTTTTTGATATGTATTTAAGGGGGTGTGCACATGTATGGGTAGGGTCCACAGAGTCCAGGACAGGCATCGCATCCCCTGGAACTGGAGTGGCAGGGGTTTTAAACCACACAGTGTAGGTGCTGGGGAAAAGTTGGGCCCTTTACAAGAGCAACAAGTTCTCCTTCCTGCTGAGCCATTTCTCTAAGCCCCAAAGACCTAAATTTTAATGTGCATTTCACCTTTTTAGCACTCTGTACCGCCAGATAGCTCCAAACCTACATAGAAATCAGGTTCTGTCTGAAGAACATTTTATTTTGATTTTTAGATCAGGCTGCTGCCTCTCGGGGCTGGGATTAAGTTCATGCCTCACCACCACACCCAACTCTCACCTTTTTTGTTGTATTTATGTATTTGTTTGTTTTTATATCCCAACTGCAGTTTCCCTGCCTTCCTCTCAGTTTCTCCCCCACCCCTCGACATCCCCACTCCAATTCACTCCTCTTCCATTTCTCTTCAGAAAAGGGCAGGCTTCCCATGGATATCAGCCAGCCTTGGTATATCAAGTTGCAGTGACACTAGGCACCTCGTCTTTCTTCTATTAAGACTGGACGAGGCAATCCGGTAGGTGGAAAGGGTCCCAAAAGCAGGCACCAGAGTCAGAGACAGCCCTACTCCCACTGTTAGGAGTCCCCCAAGAAGACCAAGTTATACTACTACAGCATATATGCAAAGGACCTAGGTCAATACTATGCAGGATCCCTGGTTGTTGGTTCAGGCTCTGTGAGCACCTATGAGCCCAGGTTAGTTGATTCTGTGGGTTTTCTTGTGGTGTCCTTGACTCCTCTGGCTCCTACAATCCTTCTTCCCCGTCTTCCACAGGATAACCCCAAGCTTCACCTAATGTTTGGCTGTGGTCTCTGCCGATGTTTTTATCAGTTGGTGAATGAAGCCTCTCTCATGACAGTTGGGCTAGGCACCAGTCTATGAGTATAGCAGAGTATCATTAGGAATCACTTCATTAACTTTTTTTGTCCTAGTCATGTCGGTTCTATCCTAGGTCTCTGGACTATCCTTCCTGTTTCCTGGCCCTCAAGGGTGAGCTCCCTCTCAAGCTGGACCAGTCACTGATTGGCCACTCCCACAATTTGTGCCATCTTGTAGGCAGGACAAATTAAAAGTCGAAGGTTTTGTGACTGGGTTGGTGTCCCAATCCTTCCACTGAAAGTCTTGCCTGAACTTCCAGGAGATGGCCACTTCAGGCTCTGTATCCCCTATTGCTGGGAGTCTTAGCTAGGGCCACCCTCATAGATGCCTGAGTTTCCATTGCACTAGGTTTCTAGCTTTTCCCAGAGATGCGCCCCTGAAGATAGGCTTCATCGTGTAGCTGAGGCTAGCTTGAACTTGCCAGCCCTCCTGCCTCCACTTCCTGAGTTCTGGGGCATGCACCACCACACCCAGCTGCTTGACAGCTTCTTCTGGCTCCTCAGAAAGGTGTCCTTTCCTCGCTTTGTCACACAGCACTCCAGTTGACCGTCTGTCACCTTTGTCCCGGCTCCTGTATATTACTGTCACTCTTGTCCCTGGTTCTGGAAACTGGAACAGGACCTGTGTGGTTTCTCCACGTCTGTCCTGGTTGTGATTCCTGAGCTGCTTTTATCTGTGCATTTATTGTTGTCACCAGCTAGGGGAACTTGCGGGGCTGATTTGTTCACGTTCCCTACTCTAGGACTCCGTTTCTTATGGACTGGATGACATTTTGAATGGAAAACATTGAACATGTGAGAGTGGGCCTGGCAGGCTCCCCAGCTCAGGAACAGAGCTGAGGCTGAGCAGGAGACGGCAGAGCCTCAAGATGCAGCTTTGTGTCTCATCCTGTCCATATGAAATGGAGCCAGTCCCTCGAGTTGGGGACAACAATAAATGCAGATCACAGTACAGAAAGCTACAGGTACAGGTTATGCCTTGGGGGCTAACCTGGGAAATGATGGGCTGGGTGCCTGGGGTGCTGTGGAAGACACCAAGACCTGGGAGCTCTGCGGCTCTGGCAGGGTGGCAAGTTTGCCTGTGATGGCCTTTCTGTGTGTGAGGTACTTGGAAACAATGCGTTTCTCAAGTCTCTGCTGAGGGGAGGGAACAGCATACACCTGGATGTTAGATTCTATAGAAGGTGTCCAGATGGAGCAAGCCACATAGAGACTGAGGGGATGGTGTGGCTAGCCCCTCGGGGTCTCCTCCCAGACTTTTCCTCATGTGTGGATGTTTATTTATGGGAGGCAGTGGGACTGAGGGCACAGAGCTGTGTTGTGCAGTCCAATGCATGAGTGGAAACGAGTTCAGAGTGAGTCCTGCTAACCTATGAGGCCATTCCTGCCATCAAGGATAGATCATGTCACAGTGCAAACACTGTATGCAGGTCTTGATTGCTGCAGCCCTGCAGGAGCAGAGGGTCCATGGGGGTCCACACTGAGACTGTGTGTGCCTCCTTCCAGGTATAAGCAAGTGGGAAAGGGTGAGGCCAGTCCTCAAGACCCTTCCTGCCAAATATGCTGGACCCTGGTGCCATTAAGACACATTTTGATAAGAGCTGGGCTGTGTGTTCTTCACCAGCCACACTGATCCTGGCCTCTGGCCTGCCTTATTCTGCACTGGGCCTGAAAGAGGTGCACTTCATGATCCAGTCAATCTGGGGCCAGAGAAGAGGGGTTGGGACTACTTGGGTTCTTTCGTCCGCCCTCAAGAAGGGACAGACCTATAGGAAGCGCTGTCCAGCTGTCCAGTGAGGTGTTATTCTGCAGACAAGGCCAGCCACAGAGGATAACAGGCAGGGCTGGTGCAGCTTCCAAGGACAGACAGGGATGCTCAGAGGCCTTCCACAGAAACCTAAATGGCCTTCACAGCACCTTAGGGAACCTGAGCCTGCATTCCTCCGTATGAGGGAGGTTGGACTCTGTCTTGTCCCCTTTGTTGCTGCCATAGTCCCAGTAACAATCCACAGCCCAGGGACCACTCCTGATCCTATTGGGATGGTGGTCAGGAGCTTTCCCAGGTCTTTTTCTCTCCCCTGGGCTCCCAGGCTTGGCCTCTCACATCTCTTCCAGCTCTGAGAAGTCAGAGCTGCCTCCTCTGGGGACTCTTCACCTGATTCCATCTCTTTGCTCCTTGGGTCATAGTAGACCTAAATAGAATCTACCTGTCCAGCTACTACATCATGTCCATCCACAGTGAATATCTAAAAGGGGAGGAAAGTAACTGCCCCTGCATTCATAGAAGTCTTAGATGGGATAGAAAGCACTGGCTGTGACCTGCGAAAATGTAAACCTTCCAGCCACCCAATAAAAAAGGCAGGCAGGGCATGAGCTGGGGTATGTAGCCAACAAGGGATGCTAGGAAATGCTTTCGCTCAGCAATGAGGCATCCAAGTGTTCAGGGAGAGAAGAGGGTTAGACAATCATGAACAACACTCAGTACCTCGATCAATGCAGGCTCTCAACCTGAGGCTTCAAGCCAGGGGGAGCACTGTATGTTAATAACATTGAGCCTTCAGCCCCACTTGTGAGAGTATAAAACCCTGCAGCCATCCTGGAAAGTGGTCGGAGAGTCACCGTATGCCTACCTCATGGCTCAGCACAAGTCATGTCCACTGCAAGAGCACAAGCAAGGACTCTGAGGTAGATATTGTCCCTATAGGGTGACCCTCCACAATATCCTAGAAGCCACCCTGTGGCTCTCATTCTGTGAAGCTTGAGAAAGGCCAGTATTATCAGAGTGTGAGGGGTGCTGGCTCTTGGGGTAGGGGTGTCTGGCTAATGTACTTACACAGGTGTAAACCTTGCTGAAAGCCACTGAGCTGTACATAACACAGGCATGTTTTGCCATTTGATCAGTGTTCCCATTCAGTCAGTTTAAAGGTCTGTCGATGACTCCTCGCCAGCTGTCACTGTCTTCCAGGTCTCAAGGACATCCACAGTGCTCACTATCTTCAGCCCTAGGTCACTATGTTGTCTCCCGTTCCTGTTTTGCCTTCTGTGAACTCCACTTCCCCCTGGGTTCTCATGCCTCCACTTCCAGGCTAAGTCTGTACCTCAAGCGCCTACCACTAGCCCTGCCTTAGCCAGAGCTGCCACCATGGTATATCTCAGGAAGCCACCACACAGGGTTCTCAGGCCACCACACAGATAGGTCAAGCTAAACCCCAGCCTTTCCTGGGCTTGCCAACTCCTGTGTAGGTTCCATACCCACCTGTGGAAGGCTCTGATCCTGGCATCTCAGTGGGACCTGCAAATTTAGAGCGGGCCTAGGATCATACCCACGCTGAGAGGATGACAAGAGAGCCTCAGAACCCCTCTGGAGCCTGTGCTGGGCTACTGAAGTGTGGACACCCAACAGAGATACATAGAGGGTAGCAGCCCTGGCTCCCAAGCATACCACAGTGCAAGTGTGCCCCCACAGGTAATCCTCATCATCAGTGGGAACCTGAGCTTCCTGAACTGGCTCACCATCGTGCCCAGCCTTGCTTGTTTCGATGATGCAGCTTTGGGATTCCTGTTTCTCTCAGGACCTCGAGGCCTAAAGTACCAAGTCCTGAAGATACAAAAGGAAGATACACAGGGGGTCCAGCCCAAGCCAAGATACGGTGGGTGAACCAGAACCCCAACTAGCCCCATGACCCTCATACCTAATGTCTCAAGAATATGTAAGAAAGTCAGGTACCCACCAGCTCCACAACAGTCAACAAGAAAAGGGTGGGTACCATAGGTCCTAGGAGGGAACTTCTGCTGCCTAGGGTCCTTTACCAGGCCAGGACCTAGGACAGCTGGCCCTTTAGCCACTTCCAGGGCCCACTGCATGGACAGTCATAGTTCATTCTCCATATTGGCTTCAGGGGGTGCTCTTGGCTCAAACATAAGGGGCTGTGGCTCAGGGCACCTTTCCCAACCCATGGGTTACATGGCCAGCTGGGTATGTCTGTAGGCCTTCTTGAACCTGGAGTGGCAGAACAGTAGCCAAGGGTTCCTGAAGGACTAGCACAGCTTTACTGTGAGATTGGGAGCCTGGCTGATGAGAACCAACCTGTCCCCCACCCCTACCTTTGACTAGGCTGCACGGTGCGGCGAGTGGTCAACTTCTCTCTGGGCATCCTGGTGGCCTGGCTCAGCGTACCCGTGATTATCAACCTACTAAGCTCCAGGCAGGTCATGAACACCTCCTTCAACCCACTCAGGATTGTCAACACCTACGGGGCCTTTGGAAGGTATGGGCCAGGCATCCTGGCTGGGGCACTGGGCTCTGCCCTCCTGTCCATCCTGGGAGGTGTTGGCTCCTAGCATCACCCTCTCAGCTGGGGGAAGGCAGAAACTGTGGATACACTGGCCTTCTTCGTCTCTCCCAGTATCACCAAGGATCGGACTGAGGTGATCCTGCAGGGTACAACCAGCCCTAATGCCAGTGCACCTGACGCTGTGTGGGAGGACTATGAGTTCAAGTGCAAACCTGGTGATCCCTGGAGGCGGCCGTGCCTTATCTCTCCATACCACTACCGCCTGGACTGGCTAATGTGGTTCGCAGCTTTCCAGGTGATGATGTCCCACCATGATGCTCTGACCTGAAGCAAACTCCCTTTTCCCACGGGCAAGCCCTATATGCGTGCTCTTTGCAAAGGGTGCACAGTCTCCCACCAAGAGGGTCACAGAGGAGGCCTCCCATTAGAGGTGCAGCCCACCCAAGGCACTCAACGGGCCCTGCTTTGACCTGGACCTGCTGGGAAAAGGTTCCTGCGGATAGTTCCGCTCCCCCAAGGCCCAGGCCAGTCACAGCTAAGGCCAGGACGAATAGCCAGATAGAAAACACAGCTGAGGGCTGGTTCATGAGTGCATGATCCTCAGGTGAGACCCTCTAAAAGAACAGGAAGCTGATGAGTGAGCCCTCAGAGGAAACCCAATCCTGGCACACCTGACCATGTCATATTCTAGCCAGGCTATGGAGTGCAGGGAAGTAAATGGAGTTCAGAGTGACCAGGCAGGGGCTACACCGGGGCACATGCCAACTCGGGGGGGGGGGGGGGGGGGGGGGGGGGGGTGGCTGTCCCCATACTCCAACCTTATGAACACTGCCCTTTCAGACCTATGAGCACAACGACTGGATCATCCACCTGGCGGGTAAGCTCCTAGCTGGTGACTCGGAGACCCTGTCCCTGCTCGCCCTCAACCCCTTTGAGGGCAGGGCTCCCCCCAGGTAAGAGTCTTCCTATTCACTTCAGCCTGTGGTCAACGGGCAGTGTCCACTAGTGCCTGAGTTGGGCACCCTGACACAATTCAGTAGCAGCCAGAGACTAGGGGACTAAGCAGTCCTGAACTGGCCCCATCCCTCCCCTGTGTCCTGCCCACCATTGATGCTGACAGAAAACACGTTCCTCCTGTCTCTCCCTGGAGAAGTCTCAGGGCAGCTGCACCTAGAGCTGCCCACAGCTGTCAGGACTGTCAGGAGGGGCGCTGAGGGGCAGTGAGCAGCTGCAAGTGTGGCAGCCCAGGCAAGGGAGCCGGCCAAGTGTCTCCCCACACTGTCTACTGTGGCACTGGGGATGTGGGGACATCCCTACCCAGGGATCAGCAGCCTCACTCCCCCTCCCAGTGCACTCTCCTCTGCCCAGCACCCTGAAGCCACCAGGAGATCTGAACTAGGCACACCCTGAAGTAGATTCACATCCCCAGGTTTGCCAATGGCCAAACATCTCTGACGGAGAGCTGTGTCCTTCCAGCTCTGGAAGGCTTGTCACTGACCATCCTCCTGGCTGCTGTCTTGGGTTTGTGTCCCACCTGCCAGGGATGGGTGGAAGGCCTAGGCTTAGGATGAGGTCTCCTGATTCAGCGGGAGGTTGAAGATGTGGTCAGGTGGGCCTTGAAGAAACAAAGCCTGCAGACAGATCTGTGAAGATGCAAACCTGGCTGCCTCTTGTATGAATCAGTAGTGAGTCAATATTCACTACTAATATATGTGCAAGTTGAAATACAGTAAATGCCACAGAACCATCAGGCTCTGCTTGGTTGCAGAGCTGAATGTGACCTCAGCCTGACCCCACTGCCAGCTGTGATTTTCTGAAATGTGTGGTGATGCTGGAGTCTCCATAGTGGGAGGATGGATCAGACACTGGTGGTGCCTATGAAATAAACACAGGAGCTTTGAACAGTTAGGGGAGGGGCCTAGTGGGGACTCAGGACCCCAGCATCAACCTTCAAATGGTACCAGCTTATCTTGCTTCCTGTCTGCAAAGACAAACCAGCAGCAGAAAGGAGCCGCTCCTGAGACAGGCGCTATGGCAAGCCCATTCTACTCCAGCCAAAGCCACCTAGCAGGAAGAGTCAAGAGCACAGGGACTCCACCCTGAAGGAGGAGAGGCCACTCACTGAGCTGCTATAAGGTCTTGTGGTAACCCAGACACTCACCACAGCAAGCAGTACCAGCCTAGTTTCATGTCATCAGTGGGGACCTTCTGTTGCCACCTTTGCCTGGCAAGGGTGCAAGGTAGAAAGTCCGAACTTCCAGCATGGAGTTCGAAGAAGCCAATGCAACAGAAAGGTTGAATGTGTCTTAGGATCCCGACACCCAAACTGTCAAGAAAAGCTCACCAAGACCCGGAAGACATTGAACAGATCAGAAAAAGACAGTCAGTGGATGACAACAGCTGACCCTCCCCACAGAAATCATGAGACAATTATAAACACAACACTCACAAGAAGAGTCAGCAAAGAAATAGAAGACAGATGGAGAACCGAAGGAGAGCTTCAGAACAGAAAGGCATAGTCCCTGGGGTAAAGCACCGGAGGAGGGGGGTAGAACTGGCATGCCAAGGAGGACTCAGCAGGGACCCAGTGTGGGCAACCAGCTGAGTGCTGAGTAGAGAGTGGGGCCTAGGACTGCAACAAGATCCAAGGTGGGTGTCTGCACCCCAGGGAAAGAGTCCCGCCTGGGGCTGGGAAGGCATTAATGAAGATTTCCCAAAGCTGCCAAAAGACACAGACCTGAAAGGTCAATGAACAAAGGGAACCCCAGATAGTAAATCTTGGAGAGATGCAGACCAATGCACAGTAAACAGTGAAGGGGCTGAGCAGTCAGAGCCAAAGCCACTGAGGGTCAAAGGACACTGAGATCCAGATCTCGTCAATTCAGGGAGGCTGGCTGACCAGAGAGCCCTACAGATCCTCTTTCCCCACCTCCCCAACACTGGAATTACAAGTGTGCACCTCTACACTTGCCTTTTTTTTTTTTTCCTAATGTGGTTTCTAGGAATCAAACACTATACCTGCTGACCTCTGTCCCCAGTCCTCTAAAAGAATCACAAAATGGGCGGAGGGGGTCAGGGAAGCTAGAGAGATGGCTCAGTGGTTCAGAGCACTTCCTGCCCTTCCAGAAGACCCAAGTTTGATTCCCAGCACCCATATCCAGCAGGTCACAACTGCCTGTGACTCAAGCTCTAGGGAGCCAACACCCGCTTCTGGCCTCCTCAGAAACTGAAGCAGAGACACAGAGGAGCGCTGCTCATGACTTGCTTTTCATCGCTTGCTCAGCTTGCTTTCTTCCATATCCCAGGACCACCTGCTTAAGAGTGGCAGCTCCCACCATGTGCTGAGCTCCCAAATCCATCACCATCAGGAAGATGCCCCACAGACACACCTGTAGGCTGCTCTGATAGAGGCTGTTCTGAAGCTGATGTCCCCTCTTCCCAGGTGACTCTAGTTTGTGTCACACTGATAAAAACTAACCAGCGTAGTCATGTTCTAGAATGTTCTGGGGGTGGTGTCATTCCTCCTCAGTACCCTCACAGACCTGCCAGGGAAAGCACAAGGCCCTGGCTGGATCTTTCCTAACCTCCCAAGCCCAACACTGGGCACCTGAGCCTTGTCCCAGGATCCCACCCCCCCCAGTACACCACACCCCTTTTGTCTATAAGTGGTGTCCAGGCCCTGCAACCCTACACCTTTGACCTTATCTTGAGAAGAAAATGAAAACAAGAAGGCCAATTCAGAGAAGATGGAGTGATCACACGACAGTGGCTTTCCAAGAGGCTCTGCACTCCTGCCCTCCCCAGCCTTGTGAAATGTAGGGTCAGGACCTCAGATTCAAGAGAAGAGGAACTTTGTGGCCATCTCCAAGGCACAGCCTTAACCAAACCTCTCCATGGCCGCCTGTGGAGTCCAGCATGTGCTCAGCACTACCCAGCCTCACCCCGACTCTGACCACCATCAGGGCTCCTTATCCACTCAGGTTTGCACACCAGAGAAAGGAAGGATGGCAGCTCCACCCAGAACCAATGATGCCTCCAGACCCACACCCAAAAAGACATAGCATGTTCCCCTGGTCCCATCACAATGCTTGCTATGTCCTGTGCACACCCTAGTAGCACAAGTTGGAGAGGGTGAATCATGGAGACAGGGCATCACCTCATCACCTAGGGTCTCCCTCGAGTCCCAGGATAGAGTATATGGCCATCACTGGAGCCCAGATGTGCCTGTTTTACATCCAAGATTTGTAACAGGCTTGGGAACATTTTGACCATGAGGCTGATGGGGCTCCACCCACGGATTTCAGGGACCTAGGCCAGCCTTCTGGGATGTGGGGGCCATGAGGAATCTGGGAGAAGCAAAGAGACCGTAGGCTGACACAATTTCCCCTGCAGGTGGATCCGAGGAGAACACTACCGTTACCGGTTCAGCCTCCCCAGTGGCCAGCACGCTGCCCAGGGCAAGTGGTGGATACGCAAGCGAATTGGCCCCTACTTCCCCCCACTCCAACTTGAGGATTTGAAGGACTACTTTAAGACTCGGGAATGGCCGATGCCGGAACTCCATCTAGACACACCCTGAAATAAAGACCAGAGACTAACTGCCTTTCTACCTGTACTTTCTGCTGTGGCCATGGTCACACACAGTGACCAGGCAGCCCATGGGTCCTGCCAAGAAGAGAATTGGAAAACGTGCTTCCATAACTGTCAGCCTCCTGCCTCTGTCCCCATCACCCCCATGACCTGCATATGGCCACATAGTAGGGTCACATAGGCACACCAGGTCTCTCCTTTAGCTACAGGGTACCAGTGCTTCCTCATCCTCCACCCTCACAGGTACCCACTCACCCTGTCTCCAGTAATACATTGCCACCTACATCCACATCACAGGAGACCACGACAGCCACTTGGGGACTCTCTCCTAGTCTGAACTTTGGTAGCAACCCCATAGTTTGCTGGACCCCGGGGGTTCTCAAATTCCCTGACCTAAAGGCAAGTTCCCACCTAACCCAACCACATGCTCATAGTCAGGCCAGTGGCCAGGTTTCCCTCTAAAGTCCAGTGTGGCAGCACAAAAATCACCATCTCCCTGGGGGAAAGAGGCTAGCCTCAGCCTGGTCCCTCCCCAAGGACCCTTACGCAACACCTGGGCAGACACCCACAGAAACATGAGCTCATGGGTGCCTTGTACACTCTAGTGTAGGAATACATGGAGAGCGTGCATAGAAGCCCTGTCTTCAGTTTGTGGCCGTATCCAAGTCCCACATGGAGAAGTGCAGAGGGCCCAGCAGAGCTGTGTCGGTGGGGGCCTTGGAATGCATGAGACTTCCCTTCACTGCATGGACAGAACTGCCCAGGTTCTCCAGCTACAAGGACAGCAGAGACTCTGAATACTCCCCCATCCCCCTTCTTGCCAAGCATGGTATCTGAAGCCCATGTTGCCCGCCCCTGGGCCACACTGCAGAGGATCCCAGAAGGGACAACAAAAAGGTTCAGCTGAGGAGGCTGGTCGAGGGGGGCACAAGTATGATCTGTACAGAGCACCCCCTCAGCCTGCCTGGGGAGGGGGGTGGCCAACCCAGGTGCAAACAGAGAGCCCGTGTTCCAGCTCCCAAGGAAACAGGGCACCCTGTGTGTGTCAGGGACAGACAAGCCTCAGAGCAATGAGACTGGAGCCAGTAAGTCTGCCATGACCACCACAGGAGTGACTGGCAGCCTGCAGCCTGAGCAGCCCTTCCTGGAGGCGTTCTGTCCATGCCCCAGGCAGTAGACATGGGGGGGGGGACTTTTAGCAGGGACACCAGCTGCTTGGGTAGTCTGGTGATCTGGGAAGTGGCACCTAGGTGCCTACATTGGACCTCACCGCGAGGTTCATGCCCTTACCCAGTTACCAGTACCAAGGTCCCAGGGCTCAGCAGGAAAAGCCTCACATACACACTCCTGGGCATTGGTCCAGCTATGTGCCCCCTCCTTTGCAAGAATCCTGGGGGTGTGGGGGCTGTGGGTCCAACAGAGCTTTTTTAAAAAAAGTATTGAGGCCTGTGCAGAGGACGAGCTGTGAGAGGAAGCCAGGCCCTGGGGCAACCAGAATCCACCAGGGTGCCTCGTGTAGGAGAGACAGGATCTGACAGTCAGACTGCAATCTGGCCAGGTGGGAGCTGGGCCCTGCTGGCTGCAGAATGTCATCTTCACCCAGATGGCAGCCTGAGTCCTGTGCTGCCTCCTGTGTCTGGATTTGTTCATACAGTAGTCACACTGTATGACTTAGGGAGGTTCACCAACGTCTCTTGTTTGATCTTTTGAGACACAGGGTCTCTCTATGCTAACCTTGAACTCAGTGCTAGGATTGAAGGTGTGCACCACCACCCCCAGCTGCATCTTAATCCTTACAGACCAAGGTCAGATACCCCACATGGTATCTGCTGTTGTGGTAAAATGAGGGCACCAGTAGTGCCATTTGAAATGGGGGACATGAGAAGTGGTCACCTGATGACACTGGCACTGTGTGTGGGATTAGGGCCTTGGGCCAGCAGGGACCCAGTAGGAGTCACAGTAGGCAAGCTGGTGTGGCCATCAGTAGGCAGTTTCTTCTCTTGTCAAGCACAGGGCAAGACTTACCACTTTACCACAGAACCTGGTCATCATGGTAGTTGGTGGCCTTGAGGACTCACCAAAGAGACTTGGCAGCGCTGACTGTAGGTGGCCCAGCCCTACTCAAGGAGACTCACCTCAGGGTAGATGGGTCCCGACTGGTGAGTCTGTCATTAGATGTCTACTCGCTAAAGATAACACAGGACCTGAAGCCCTGGTCATGATGGCACTCACAGGTTTCTACATCATACATATACCTCCAAAGATCCCCTTCTGGAAGCTGGGGGTGCCCCTAGCTCCATGAGCAAATTATCCTTATACCCCACTGGGTCACTCCAGCCAGGAGTGACCTAAGGCTATGCCTCGGGAGCCCCACTTCCACCCATGCCTTGGCTGCATCAGGGCCACAGGACCTTTGCACTGGATATACTATGCTCCCTGATCATACTCCAGGTGGAGAGGGGTCTCATCCTCGTCTCTTAGTGCAGCAGGCATGCCATATGGGTCTACTAGGTCAACTGTGACATGCTAAATGACTTGGCCTCCTGCCCCTAGCCATACTCTCCATGGAAGAACCTGAGGGAGAAACTTCGATGTGGAGCACTGGGACAGACAGAAAGCTTTGGCCAGGGGGAGGAAGAATGGGGCCGCTGAACAGTACAGTCTCACTAGTGCGTGGTTCCTCACTTCTCTACCCAGATCCTCACTCCAGGGGAGTGGACAGAGCAGCTGGGACTTGAGTCCAGCTTCATTCAGTAGGATGCCCAGAAGCTAAGTTAGAATCAGAGTATCCCCGGCTGCTGGCAACCTGTCGGTGTGTTAGAGTCACCCTACACAGCTTCCAGACACCAGGTATCGGCTAGGAGCTGGGCAGAGGCTCTGAAATGGCAGAGGACAGTTATAGAGGACTCTACCTTCACCTGCTTGCAAACTCAGGACTCCAAGTCACCAGGCGCTGTCTCCCTGAGGTGCCATGTGGGCCTATTGATATAGGCCCTACCTGCCAGCAGCTCAGTGGAACCCACTCCTTCCCTCTCCGTCATCCAGATGAGGTGATGTGCCCTCATTATTTACTGGAGGTAGATCCCCAGTCTCCTGGGTTAGTAAATGTAAGCAAGGAAGCATCCCCATTTACAGTACCATAGGATTCCAAGATGTCTGAAGGAAACCAGCCAAGCAGGTACTTGGCCCCCTTTCCCAGTGGAGAGGGGTCAAAAAAAAAAAAAAAAAAAAAAAAAAAAAAAAAAAAAACATAGCATGCTGCTAAAAGGAACTGAAGATAGCAGAGCAGGTGTCAAATCACCTGAAAAATGTCACTGCCTGGATGACAATGCTCCCCATGGTGGTTGAGTCACAATCCTGACACAGTCCCAGTAGTAGAAGCAGGAACCCTAGCTCCAGATTCAGTATAGAACTGCAAATGACAAAATCACTCTTGTGCTGGAAGACAGCTGTCTGTAACATGCCTGCCACACAGTGTGAGTTCAAGCCCCCAGCTTCCCCATGAATGGCAGTCTCCATGGTTGCTTGTCCTAGTCAAACTGCTGAGCTCTGGGTTTAGTGAGAGAACTCTACCTCAAAAAATAAGGTTGGTAGCAATCACTGAAGATAACATCAACCTCTGGCTTCCACATGTACACACACACACACTCTTACACGGAGAATCTTAATAAAAATTTAAATTTGAGACCTCATGCTTGCTGATTTCACAACTTCCTATGAAACACCTATTTTCTTTTCTTTTTTTTTTCTTTTTTTTTTTCTTTTTTTTTTTTTTTTTTTTTGGTTTTCCAAGTTTTCGAGACAGGGTTTCTCTATGGCTTTAGAGGCTGTCCTGGGACTAGCTCTTGTAGACCAGGCTGGTCTCAAACTCACAGAGACCCGTCTGCCTCTGCCTCCCAAGTGCTGGGATTAAAGGTGTGTGCCAACAATGCCCGGCTTTTTCTTTCTTTTTCTAAAGGAAATATTGTCTATGGCCATATCACCGTGAGCATGACCTATCTCGTCTAATAGGAAATATGCCTTCCTGGAATTTTGTATTTATGTGTGAGGAAAATGTGAGCCGTGCATGCGGGTGCCTACAAAGGCCAGAAGAGAGCATTGGGTCCCCTAGAGCCAGAGTTAAAGGTTGTCAAGATCCACTTGATGGGGTGCTGGAAGCCTGAAAGAGCAGGAAGCACTCTTTGGGGTTTTGTTTTGTTTTGTTTGAGACAGGGTTTCTCTGTGTAGCTTTGGAGGCTGTCCTGGCACTCGCTCTGGAGACCAGACTGGCCTCGAACTCAGAGACCCACCAGCCTCTGCCTCCTGAGTGCTGGGATTAAAGGCGTGCGCCACCAACGCCTGGCTGCAGGAAGCACTCTTAACCACTGAACCATTTCTCTGCCCCAAACCTGTACACAGAGGGCAGTGAGGGAACGAGGCAGCCATCCACATGCAGAGGATGGGAGCTGCTCCCTTTCCTCAAGTCAGGTCTGGCCAAAGGCTGGACCCCAGGACTCACAAGGTAGGAGGAAAGAACTAACTCCCACTATTGCCCTCTGACCTTCACATACATGCCACAGAACACGAGCGCGCGCGCGCACACACACACACACACACAAATAAATTCTAAAATGTAACTTAAAAGAATCAATTCCAGAGGCTGGAGAGGTGACTCGGTGGTTAACAGCACTTGCGGCTCTTGAAGAGGACCCAAATTCAGTTCCCAGCTCCCGTGTGGAAGCTTACCACCCTCTGTAACTCCAGTCCCAGGGGATCCAATTCCCTCTTCTGGCCTCCTCAGGCACCAGACATGCATGTAGATCACTTAACACGTATGCATGCAAAACACTCATACATATAAATTGTTTGTTTTTAAGATGAGCTCTAGAGCAGAGGTATGACTTAGGCAGAGTACTTGCCTGATGTGCGTGAAGCCTCGGGTTCTATCCTCAGTGCTAATGATACGATGATGATGATGATGAAATAAATGAAGCTCCTAAACAAATGAGCTAACACTAAAAGCTCTTAACAGAAACTTCATAACTGGTACCTTGTCCCTTCTTTCCTGAATTCGAGGGTTAGGGCCACATGGTGACATTGCTCAGAGCAGCATCTCCACAGTGATGAATGGCAGGGCAGAGAGGGTGTGAAGTCAGAGCCAGCCATGACCACACATGAGGTCCCTTCTGGCAGGCCTCAAGAAAGACCAGTAACCGGTATACAAGACTGGTTGCTGAGGCAACAAGCAGTGAGCCGGTTGCTGCCCCAGTACTGGAGACCCCATGTCTCCCTAACCACTGTTCTGTCATTAGCCCACATGTCACATGGCCTGCCCAGCCACTTCTGGGGCCACAAAGCATATAGCACGTGGGGTTTCCTCCAGATGGTGGACCTCAGCATTCCATGTCAGGGAAGAGTGCCCAGTGCTGACACCAGGCAAGGTAGTACAGTCAGACCCAAGAGAGGGAAGAGTCCTGTGGGTACCAGGGAAGTGGTCTGCAGACCCTATGCCTCAGGCATTGTCCCTTCAGTCAGTGTCATGGGCCTGGAGCCCAGGCTATCTCACCACCCTCCAGGTATGCTTTGCCTGAGCTGACCCAGTGAGTATGCTCCAGGCTCACTCCTGTGTGTCAGCATCTGCACAGGTAGTAAGTATTCCAGTGTCCAGACAGCAGAGCTTTTATTCCAGTCCTGCTCCCTGGAGGTCTCAGAACTGCCTCAGCATCCTCAGCTGTTGTACAAAACAAGCTTGAGGCTTTCTCAACTGGCAGCTCGTGTGGGTTGGTGCAGGATGACCTGTCCTCTCTCACACAGGTTTGGATGTTGGGTGGTGGCACACTCCTTTAATCCCAGCAGAGGCAGGTGGATCTCTGAGAGTTTGAGGCCAGCCTGCTCTACAGGGTGAGTTCCAGAGAGAAACCCCGTCTCAAAGAAAAACAAAACAAGTTCAGGCCGTAGCAGAACCTGCATCTGGCTAGGGTACCATGTTTCCTGACATAGACATTGTCTCCTTAGGCCTTCCCTACAGTGATCTGGCACACTGCAAGCCCCTCACTACAGCCACATGGAGATGCTTTAGCCAAAGGCTCCTTCAAAACAAAAGAAAAGGGTGGGGGTATACTGCACTTAAGACAAAAGAGAGAGAGAGATGCTAAAACCCAGGAAGATGATGCAGACTCCAGAGAAGGCACCCTGACCTGGTGACAGCTAAGGGAGAGAGGGACACTGACCTTTGTGTCAGGACCTTCTCAGGGTTGATGTCAGCAATCAGACCAGTGAAAGACCAGGCTGGTTCTTTGAAACTATCATGGGACCATGATACAGTCCTATGGGACCCATGGCCACAATGGTCTACGGCAAAGGAAGAAACAGGCCACTATCAAGGACAGATGTAAGTCAGGCTGGTGATTCAGTGCTGTAACCCCAGATACCTGGGACACTGAATCAGGAGGAAACTGCCTGAACAATTTTAGCAAGACCTTGTCCCAAGTATTAAAAGACAATTGAAAGGTCTGAGGCTGTGAATCAGTGGTAAAGCACTTGCCTGCTATGCACAAGCCCCTGGGTTCCGTCCTCTGCCACCACCACCCAGAAAAGAAAAAGAGACATTACTTCAGATCCCTGAGGCTGAGCCATCCTATGGGGCCACAGGAGGAGAGAGAGTCCACTGGGTCCTCTCCCCCGTGGCTACTTGGAAGTTCATTTTGTAGAAACAGTGCCCACTGTTTTGCCCATTGTTTTCATGTATTTCAATCCACTGTAAGAGTGCTGAGCAACATAGTGGCTCACACCTTTAATCCCAGCACTTGGGAGGCAGAGAGAGTGACAGCGAGCAAGAGAGAGAGAGAGAGAGAGAGAGAGAGAGAGAGAGAGAGAGAGTTGTCGTGAAATAAAGAACATCAAGATGGATGTTTATTTTCGAATGAGAACATATAAGAACTGGGAGGAAAATTTTCCTGTGGCATCCATGGTGGCCGAAGGCCCACTTGATTTTCCTGATGTTGCTGGCTACTGTTGCCCTTGCTGCCTGTACCTTCCTCCCCCACCTTCCCTTTCTGCTCTTTGGAAATGTTCTTATAAGGGGTCCTTGGGAAACTGGAGGCAGGGATGAGGTGGCTGTAGAGCAGCATCTGCCATACATGAACCAGAGCCCCATCTGCCTGACACCTCCCCATGTCATTTCCCCGATGGTGCAGCCCTCTGGCCCTATTCTGAGCTGAAGTTTGCTGAAGTCCATGGTAGTGCCAGCTCACATCTTTGAGCAGAGGACCAGGGTGTCTACCTGGCCCATATGAAAGCCAGGAAATCTGCCACCAACTCAGCAGGGCCAGAGGCTCAGCGAGGAGGCTGTCCTTAGCGGGAAGGTCGTGAATCCCTCCTGGCTCTGCCTCCAGCACCTGGGATGCCAGGGGCACTGGTGCCAGCCCTGCAGCTGGGCCTTCTGTGGTGAGCAGCATTTGCATCTCAATGACAGGGATTCATCTTTAAGGGGCCAGCTGTCCCTCTGGGGGAGGGGAAGCCCAGTTCCTTCCCCAGTGGGCCAGGACCCTATCAAGTGGCTACAGCTCCCACACAGCCTCCCACTCCCTGCTCAGGTCAAGAAAACGCAAAACAGTGATGGACCAGCTGTATCCCTATCACGGTCCCACCCCACATGGTGGCTGCACAGCTGCAGGCTGGCACCACACCTGTCTATGTACAGTCCCCTTTTGTTCCCTAGCAAAGGTGGCCAGCTCAAGTCAGAGGTCAGGGTGAGGATGGGTCCCCGTCAGCCACAGCCTTGTCACCAGCTCCCTCACAGAGGTTTCCTCACCAGCTTGCCATCCACTATGATCATCTAGACATCTCTATAATGCCCATCCACTAGAGTCAATGCCACTGTAGAGAGCTGAAAGTGTCCCCAAATGCATCCCAATCAAGGACCTCAGAATGTGACCTTGGAAAATAGGGTCTTTGCAGATTTAATTAAAGATCATATGATATAGCCACCCAGGATTAGAGTGACCCTTTTGTTCACAAGTTTGTTTGTTAGCGAGTTGAGACAGGCTTTCATTATGCAACCTGGATGGCTTTGAACTTGTAGCAATCCTCCTGCTTCTGCCTCTTGAGTTCTAGGATTACAGGCATGCACCACCAAGCCCGGCTTCAAGTATAAGAATATATTAGAGAAATCCAGCTGCCATGGTGCATGCCTATAATCCAACTGCC